AATTATATTTTGAGATCTGTAAGCCTCATTTATAATTAGGGCTCTACCAAATTCACGGTCCATTTTGGTCTATGTCATGGTCATAGGCTTTTCAAAATCGTAAATGTCATGATTTCAGATATTTAAGCCTGAAATTTCCCAGTGTTGTAACTGTAGGGGTCCTGACCCAAAGAGAGAGAGAGAGAGAGAGAGAGAGAGAGTGTGTGTGTGTGGGTGGGGGGGGGGGAGGGTTTGCAGGGTTATGGTAGGGAGATCGCAGTATTGCCACCCTTACTTCTGTGCTGCTGCCTTCAGAGCTGGGCCCTCAGCCAGCAGCCACCACTCTCCGGTCGCCCAGCTCTGAAGGCAGGAGCACAGAAGGGTGGCAATACTGCGATCTCCCTACAATAACCTTTGCAACCCCCTTGCAGCACCTTTTGAGTCAGGACCCCGAGTTTGAGAAACGCTGGTCTCCCCCGTGAAATCTGTATAGTATAGGGTAAAAGCACACAAAAGACCAGATTTCACGGTCTGTGAAGTGTTTTTAATGGCCATGAATTTGGCAGGGCCCTACTGATAATGTGCCATGTTGATCTGGTATAGTTCTGGTTTACCAAAATGTTGTGTGGTGTCAATGCCTTACAGAAGTATTTTACATCAGCACTACTGCCTTTATCAACCCAACTTGTAATCTCATCCAGAAACGATAAAGGCAACTCCATGGAGCAGTGCCAAGGAATGTACACAGTGGTTCAGTTCAGAAGACGTGTAAATTCACCTCACTGCTCTCCTTGGTTTCTCTCAACTATTTTCAGAGCATTCAGATGTGGACTCTGATATGAAGAGCGATGAGACCGATGGGGTGGAGGCGGAGAAGTGGTTTGGCACAACCTGTCCACCTTGATAGTTAGAAGAGGCCAACTGCCAGTAGCTGCAGCACTAGGAGCCTCTCACTTTTAGGGCACTGGCCCAAATGCACACAAATCATTTGTGACCTAAAGTCTTTATTATCCGACAGCTTTTTGGAGTTGGAAAGAGGAGCTAAGTTCAGTTCGGATGGCCTAAGATGTCCTCGTCACCAAACCAGCACCACCACAGATGGTTCTGTGTCCTACCTCCGCAGCAGGCTGACGACCACTGGATCTTCATGGAGCTTGATGACGCCTTCTCACTCATCTGGCTGGTTCTTCCAGGCCAGAGTCGTGCCATGCACACCTCTGTTCCTAAGGGTGTGTTAAGTTTCTTAAACTTTATATTTTAGAAAAAAAAAACCAGGGAGAGTGAACCAGTTAAAACAAACTTTTATTTAGCAAATTATATTAAGAATACAGACGACGTTATCACACAATGAAACTTCCCTTTGTAAAATACAGGAGGGTGATCTAAAATAAATATAAAAAGTCAGAACATTCATCAGGTTAATACACAGTAAATTCACTTCCAATAGCCCAACAAAAATGCAGCATCTTAAAAACATTTCACAACTGCATAAAAGGTTTTTCTTTTCCATTTCTATGACACAACAGTTAAAACTGTTGCTGTTAGGAATTCGTTTCACAACAAACAACCCAGAAAGATTCAACCAGTTTGGTTTCCCTGTACCAAATGAACAGACGAAATCGAGCAGCACCGCACTTCCCCTATTGACAACCGTGTCCAACTTTTATGGCTCAGAATTACCAGTGTTGAAGTGTGTCCTGTTATCCTCTCTCTTCATTGCCACAGAGAGAGCTTTACCTTAAAGTGGTTCTTCAAGGCTCAAAGGCTGAGGTAATAGTTAATGCAATGATATGAACACACCCTCTGCAATGGGAGGAATTCAGCCCTATGCAGAGGATCCAGAGAAGACTTAGGCACCGCTTATGTCCCACTTAAGCTATTTGGAGGACATGTAGGCCTACTGCTGACCCTCAGCACAGGGTCGATTCTTCCCTATATGCATGATGTGAAACTCACAATGGGGACCATAAATCCTGGAGGAGTCAGTGTCAGGGACAAGGCCTGTCTCCTCCCGTGGAAAGCTGGAGTTATTCTGCTCAGCTCCATGGGGTGAGAATCCACCAGCAAAGCTCCTCTCACTCCAAGGCAGTTGCACATTTTTTTTAAAGGGGTAAAGCCTAGTGCAGGAGGCAGCCATCTTATGGAGCTGTTTGCGCTCAGCTCTTGGGAGCTCAGGGAAAGGGGCCACAAATCCAGTTCTATTAGATTCAACAATGGCTTTGAAGTTATAAAAAAACCATTTTAAATACCAAACCTCACTGTTGTTCTTCAGGTGGTTTAACCCCACAGTAGAGCAGCTTGGAGCTCAGCTCTAAGCCATCTCTGTCTCCAGCTCCCATCCATTATGTCACTTTCCAGCGAGATGGCTACCCCGGCCCAAGCTGAGCCCGCCAGTCAGGACCTTGCCGCCGAATGCTGGTGAGAAGCATGCCCCAGCACCGAGGCGAGCAGAGATCTGGGATGGACAAACCAGGCCACAGCATGGGATCAGCAGACCATCCAGTTCCTTAAGCAATTTGTACAGAAATTTAATTCACAAAAAGTGGAGAGTGAAGGTGCAGCCAGGTGAGGCCTGGGAAGAAAGGAAAGGTGAGGGGAGCGTGGGGCAGAGGGGAGGAAGGGCAGAGGAAGCCAAAGGTTGCTTGGGGGAGAGTGGCTGAGAAATGGCTTTTGCCAGCCACACCCAATCCTACCTCTCTCAGGCTACACACCCCTTTGGAGATACAGGGGTGGGGGCGGGTCATGGGATCTCCGAGGCTCCGCCAACAAGCCTACAAACTGTGAAGTGCTGTGCCCGAGTCCACTGAGACCAGCTCAGCCTCTTCTGTCTTTGACAGTTTTGGTTTTGAGAAATTAGAAGACTGGTGAAAAACCCAAATAAACTCAGCACCACAGAATACTGATCTCTAACTAGCACAGCGGGGTCACAATGGACTGTCCCTACAAAGCACCTGCTCAGAGCGAACTCCTGGCAAGGGACGCAGCAATGGAAGGAGGGTTAGGAGCAGTCTCATCCCACATGAATATGGCTATGTGATGAGGGAATGTATCAGCTAATTAACCACACTGGCATTTATCACAATGTTCACAGGCTACATCACTCTGGGAATAAATCCTTCCCTCTCTATTACTACTATATGGGATTTCACAATCTAGTTACCTGGCTGGCCCAGGAGCTAGCCGCATACATTACTGCAGTTCTGCCCTTTGCTAGGGGAACATCACCCTGGGAAATCCCAGGGCACTGCATCACTGTTAATAATTCATCTGACTGCAAGCAAACTCCCACTTTCCCAGCACTGTCTCCTCAGCAGTGTCAGGAGATTTCATGATTACTTGGCAAAGTAATTTCTTCTTCTTCCAAGTGGAAGCTGCACACTCCTTAGCTTGCTCTGGGGATAGACGTGGGCTGACCAAGACACACTCATCACAGGTAGGAGGAACCAGCCCTTCTGTTTTACATCCACTCACCCCCACACCTTCTGTCCAGGAGGCCTGGTCATGACCCCCCTGCAGCCACTCCTATCTCAATCTCAGGGCTCAGTGCAGAGCAGCGGACACACTCCCTCCTCTGGGACTGCATGGGCCAACACTGGAGAACTCAGACCTTGTGTGGGGAGTAAGACATGTAATCGGAAATCCACTTGCCAGTGGAGAGCAGTAATCATTAGGAACCAGGGCCAGCCCTGCATGGAGTTATTTTGAATAAGAAAATTACTGTTCAGTAATTAAAACCTGCCTATTGAAATACTGATGTGATGCCTGCAGAGACAGAAGGGGGAAGCGCCCCATAGCTAATGAGTTCCAAAGGAAATCACTTGCACTATTGTCAATCTGCTTATACTGCTTCTTGCATTGCACTCCGAGCCCTCACAGCCATTCGAGCAGGTCTGAGAGTGCACGGGAGGTTCTGACCAACCGTCCATGGACCTGACCCAACAAACTCCATTTGCCCTACACTCTTGTGCAGGTCTGCAACTGTGCCGGCCAAGCCTGTGGCACGGAAAATCTCTGACGTGTCACTGGCAAACTGCACAAGCACAAATGTGAAGGTCAAATGTTCATTTTCAGCCTTTCTTTGCAGAGAAACGGCTTTGAAACAGCTCTGCGAGGGCTGGGAGAGGGAGGGGAGGAGGCAGCCTCCATTGAACAAATCCTTGTCCCAGTTAGACACCCTGTCAACACCTGGAGCGATCCAGAGTTCGGCATGTGTCGTGTGTGTATCGTCTCTCAGAAGGCGCTGAGGAAAAATGCACTGTCACTGTTGCTAAGCAGCTTATAGCATCGACTCTAGTTTCTGAGAGCTACTGATGCACTTTAAGCTACTCCCACAAATAGGATGGCGAAGCTCCAGATCGGCTTTAAAAAGCAGTCCCAACATTTCAGTCACCAAAGCTGGGTGGTTTCCACAGCTCAGTCTGCTGAACCGAATGCTGCAGCCTCTGACAGAAATTCCTAAGGGGGCCAAGAAAATGCTCTGTGGCCCCAAGTATCGATCGGTGTTTGATAACCACAGATATTGGCTTAGCTCTGATTTAGAGCAGGAGTACCCAAGCTTTGTCCAACCAACGGGGCCATTGGCCTGTTCTCAGCAGCCTATGCTGCCCACTGAAATGTGTCTACAATGGAGCAGCTGGGTCTGGCCTCCCCTGGAATGAGGAGAAGCTGTCCATTGGGACGACAGCTCCCACAGGAGACACTCCACCTTCATCTGGCAGAACTCTGGACCATGCACTAGCTATTCTGCTGTTAAATCGGAAGCTCCCAATTCTCCAGCTTCAGTGTGTGGGGAGGGGCAGCTCTGTGACACTAACTATCATCCTTACGCTAGGACCGACGTTGCAGAAAACCTTGACCTGCCTGTTACTACATCCACAAAAACAAGGAGTCCAGTGGCACCTTAAAGACTAACAGATTTATTTGAGCATAAGCTTTTGTGGGTAAAAAACCCACTGCATTGCATCTGAAGAAGTCAAGTTTTTTACTCACAAAAGCTTATGCTCAAATAAATCTGTTAGTCTTTAAGGTGCCACCGGACTCCTTGTTTTTGTGGATACAGATTAACACACCTACCCCGATACGTCCACAAAGCTGCCCTCAGCCAAGGAGGGAGCGACAAATTGATCTACAATGAACTACAGGACAAGTTACAGACAGCTGAAAGGTAGGAAACACAAGAGATGGATGGGATGGACAAACGACTGCAGTGTGGAGTGAATTTGAACTTCAAGTGAACCTGAGCAGAATGACCAGGCTGACTGCGCTAGCTTCCGTGATATGTTCATTGGTTGATGTCAGCACCATCAATCTAGCCTCTGTAAAGCTTGGCAGTAAAGGCTGGCTTTGCTTTCCTGCAGCAGAAAATAAGAACTAAAAGCCACTTTGGAACCCTAAAGGGAAGGAGCACCTTCTGGGAGTCACCCAGGCCTATACCAGCTGATGCCAAATATTACAGGCCTTAAATCTTGTGCTCAGACCTGACCCTTTTATAACCATATACGCCCATCTTCCAACAACAGAGCTGGTCTCTAAGAGGCAGTTAGTAAAAGAGAGACTGGTCTGGAGAGTCAAAGCAGAGAACTGGAATCAGGTTCTACCCAGAATGCTATGGTGTTTTGCACTTCTTTCCCCCCAGAAACATGGTACAGTGCTTTGAAACCAGAAATGGATCATTGGACAAGAAATATTTTACATATGTACAAATACGAAATACACAAACCAACAGTACAAAACCTACTATTAGTCAACATTCTGTTAGACTAGAGAATTCAGGAAAGTCAAAAGCAGTGCAAAGCGGGTCCGAATAACCCAAACCCAGAGCTACAATACCAGTATTTGTTACTATGGCAATTGCATTTTAATAAGGTTAGACAACCTGTCTTTTACAATACAAAAAGTTGCACACTTTAACACTTACTTTTAAAAAATGCCATTTCGCTGCTGTAACGTAGTTTTGTTCCACAGCAGACTTGAAAAGCAGCACAGAGCTCAGATGAATGTGTCTAAAGAACTTATTACAGCAACAGACTTCACCAAGACATGCATTTGACTCAGGAGTGAGCCAGGGACACCACTTGTAAGCATGCTGAGGTCAGGGTTTAATGCATCAAACACTTGCCCAGTGGAACTATCTCAGCCTTGTCCGACATGGTCAGGCTTTAGCATTTCCCACCCCGAGTGCAGCAGTGTGCAGGGACGGGGCGCACAAATCTCCTTCCTTTTAGCAGCCAGCAGGGGCAAATGTTTGAAAACTGCCAAAGTAACTGGCAGGTTCCAATGCCCACTTTATGGGCAGGTGCCATGGCAAAGCTTTCGGGTGGCTGGGAGAAGTCAGGATGGCATTGCAGAGGTCTGGCTGGCTTGCTCTCCATAGGCCAGAGAGAGCTACGCAACATTTGCCACGATCCTCTACTTCCAGGCAATGGACACGCAGCCTCTTTGTGCCAGGGAGAGGTGCCACTGAGATCCCTGTGCTCTTCGAGCTACTCCACTTTGCCAGTGTCTTGGGAGAGAGCCCTACGTGGATCTGAGCGAGCGACTGACCCTGGCTACGTGAGCTGAAAGTAACAAAAACCATTAAGGTCTCAGGTGTATCCTGGCCACAAGTGAGCTGTTGGGCAGTCTGGACTTGGAGAAGCAGAGGAAGGGTTTACCATTACTCAGGGTTAGCTTAAATCAAAGGACTTGAAAGGCCCGGACCGCTGACCCTGCACAAACCAGAGAACCCTGCTGTACTGAGCAGGGCAGCTGGGGCAGTTTATCCTGCTGCACCTCAGTTCCCAGTTTAAGCTGGTGCATTTTGTGAGTTGGGGACTAACTGGCTGTATCTTTAGCCTCATTTCCCCAAACGCTCTATCCTAGCAGGGCTCATTGCTGGGAATCTCTCCAGAGTCCCGCGAGCTGGGGCTCCTGGCTTGCAGCATTTCACTCCAGATCTGTATTGCAGTGAGCACGCTGCAGCAGGTGCTATAAAGCAGGGAAAACTGAGGAAGCCATCTGTCAAGCTTTAACTAAGGGACTCCTGACCAGGAACTGCCCCAGCAGGGCTAAGGGGTGAGGGCGCCTGGCAGAAAGGGTTAACAAAGTCCAAATCTCAGAAACAACATGTACAAAATGATCGGGGAAAGCGCAGGAAGGAAGGCAAGTCGTTAGAAAAGTGTCCTGTCTGCCGAGAAGGGTTCCAGTAACACTGCTCATCAGGGCTCGCCTCCCATCAGTAGTATCTGTGCGCATGCGCCGCGTCTCCAGGGAGCCGGCCTTCCCTCGCTCCTCAGGACTGTGGCATCTGCTGACATCTAGTGGGGCTGGGGGGCAGCCGGGCAGCAGCACTTTGCTCTGTCCTGAAGCTGTAGTCATACTAGAGAGCAAAACAAAGAGAGAGAGAGACCAACACAGGAGTGACAACGCTGCGAGGGAGCAGGCTAAAGCTGCGTCACTAGCACTAGACGGGAAGAGCAGCACGTGAGCTCTCGTCTCAGACCCACCCTTCTCGCCACCCGGTGCAGGGTAAAATGGGACATGCCCTGCTCCCTGGTGTGGCACCCAGAGCCGTTTACACAGAGCGACGCATTGTACCTGGGTGAGCGATGTGCCTCTCGGCTCCGGGCACACCCCCAAGCCCCTCTGCGTTCTTGCACAGAGCTCTCCCCAGCCTGCCCGCAGCCCTGCTCCCACCAGTGCTGCCCAGTGCACTGGCCAGAGGAGGCCACTACAGGACGCTGCAAAGCAGCAGGCTCGTCCAGGGTCACACTTGCTGCCTCTTCCACTACAAACCGGCCCTTTCAGTCCGTAGCATTGCTATCTGCTGCCAGCTCAATACGCTGCACAACAGTCACGGAGAGAAAGCAGGGGTGTATCCCAAGCCCTGCTGATTCTTTCGCTTTTCCTCCAACAACTCATTTTTGTTCAAAGTGTAAAATTATAATCCAGACCTGTGCTAAGGAATAAATGGAAAAGCAATTCTCAGTTAGTGGGAACAAATGCTCTTTAGCATTTCCAAGCACTGGTCCATAGCCAAGCTCCCAGAGTGATGCTGGTGTGGCCAGTGGAACCAGCGGAACACTGGCAGTGGGAATGCAGGGAATTCCTTCCTCCAGATTAAGCAGCTCCTTGTGCTGAGATAAATCGGAACATATTATCTATCACGTCAAGCAGCTGGAGGAATATTTCTCCTCTCAGGGCGTGGGTACACAACCTTGCACCAGTTTAATTGAACTGGTGCAACCCCGTGAATAGACCCTCTTATTTCACCCCGAGTGGGGCTTATTTCAGTTTAGCTTAAAGTGGTTCCTAATCGATTTAAAATAAACAAAAATAAACCGGGTTTAAGCTGGAACAAAAGAGTGTCCATGTGGAAAATCAAACCTCACATGAAGCCAGAGCACCTCTGTGCAGCGGGGCCCTGGAGAGCTTTGCCTTTGATTTCCTTGAGAACAGGACCGACCCTGCCTGGGCGCGGCAGAACTCAGGCTACCCCGCAAAAAGCCGCTTTCTAACGTCAGCTCCCGAGGCCTTTTCTGGGCAGTGATTCGCTCTGACACCCAGCGTGACTTTCAGCAGGATTCGGCCTGGCCGGCTGGCTCATAACCAGGGCATTTGTCTCCAGAGATGCCCTGCCTGCACAGACCAAAGGACACAGCGCTTCCCTGCCAGAAATCCATCTTCCAACAGCAATAACAGCCACAGCCCAGGGCTTTTCCTGAGGATTTATGGCTGGCTGGGATCCCCCAATGAACCTCTGGCCATCAGCTCCTCCCAGCCAGCATTAATCCCCAGGAAATGCCCTGTGCCTGACCATTAGTGCTTAGAGGTTTTCACTGAGAAGAGCTGTAAGTGCATGGTAACACTGCCATCTTGTGGCAAATCGTGGCTCATACACTTCCAAGACCAATCAACTGAGCACATGCTCTCTCATCGATACTGAAATATTTTGCTCTTCTGTGGCATCTTTCAGCCCAGGATCTCCAGGTAATTACAATTAGTTAAGTGGCATAAGAATGATCACGCCAGTTGGACACATGGGAAAAATGCAGCACACAGCAATTAAGTGACTTACCCTAGTGGCAGTAAGGACTAGAACCTAGGAATCCTGACTCCCCTTCCCCTGGCCCTCGCTCTGGTCACTAGGGTCGTTCATACCCTCTTCTCCAAAGTAACCAAACAAGCAGATGCTGAAGAAGCCATTCCAGACCTCCTAGTCCAGAGCAAACGCCCCCTTTGCCCCGGACACCTAGTTACACAGCTTAAGCAGTCCCTCTACTGCGGCCAAGAAACATATTGAAGGAGGAAATACTGAATCATTTAAACTAACCCGTCACTATCACTGCTCAGTAAAATAACCTCGGCCCTGACTAGTAAGTGTGACTGTCACATGCGAAGCACACAGCTAGTTCTCCAGCATAGCAGTGAAGCCATTCGCCATGGCTAGTAACAGCCTTGGAGCACAGCGGAGGGTACTGACATGGGCGAATGGGGTCTGGCAATTAAAGTTTTCCCCACTCATTAAAGCCTTCTCCCTGCTGTGACACTGGTGGAAAGCACCACAGCCCCCACCCTGCCCCAGGAAGCGCAGGGATAATGGTCACTGAAACCACCAAACTGCAGCTGGGTTCCTCACGCCTGGTTCTGGGTTACGTTTCCGGTTGGATCGTGCCTTTCACGCCCCCAGCTCACAACAACAGCAGGGAGCCTGCATGAACGGTGGCTCCCCGTTCCCTGAGACAGCCCCTCTGAGTGACTCTGGGAGGGCTGCCCCGGCGGCACCCCTCCCGCCCCCCCGGGAAGAGAATGACCTGGTCTATGGGCTGCTGACCTCGCCGGCCCTCCCTCTGGCAAACGCAGATGTGGAACCAATGTGGGACATGCTGCCGTGGTGATGGGGTCTGGAAAACGTGATGGGCACAGCCCTTCAGGTGAATGAACCAGCCCTGTGCACGTGCCTCATGACAGGCAGGATGCGTATCTGAGGGCAGGAGACACACAGCATGGTGCAACAGAGGGGCTAAACTTGGGAAAGGCCCTAAACCTTCATACCCACAAACACCACTTCTCCCAGGCGTCCGGCTGCCAGCAGCACTCAGCCAGCAACCCACAGCACGTGGGGCGAGCCGAATGATTTAGGCCCTCTTTGTCACACACAGTCAGCCAGTTTATGCTCACATGGGAATTTCCCCTCAGCCCAGGCATTTGCCAGGCACTGTCTGCAGCTCGTTCTTAGTGCGTGGCTCCTCCCCAGGACAGGACAGAGCTCACACTGGGCTACTGTCCCCCAATGGGATTAGCATCCATCTAAAAGCCAGCTTTCCAGTCTGAACCCCACACAGGGACCGTCTCTTACTATGCGTCTGTACAGCGCCGAGCACAGCTAGGCCCTGGGCATGCAGGTCCTATCATGAGAAAACCCAACCAGTCAGTGTAGGGCTGTTTCCACAGGCACTTGAGCCAATCGACTCCTTCACTGGGACATCTGGAGGAAGCCAGCACCAAAGGGCCAAACTCATATGAAGCAAATTGAAATGTGCGTGGAAGCAGCTCTGCTTGGAAGTTGTGTGGCGATAGCTGCCCAGTTCTAACTACAGCCCTACATCGCTGTGGTGTCTGTGCACTGGAGCCACTCGCATTTACACACCCAAGGGGTCGTTTGTGAACGTGGAGGCGGCAGGACGGCTCCATTCAGAAAAGCACCTAAGCACAGGTTTTGCTCTCGACCGTGCTCGCTGGTTCTTCCTGACTGGGCTCTGTGTGAAGGAGGGCTCGGTTTGTCTATTCCACGGTCTCAGAGCTCAGCCGTGCTGCTTATCGCTGCGTTGGTGGGGGGTTCCCGGGTTCGTACAGCTGGGCATGCACAGCACTGGGGGACTGGCCCAGCTCTACTGACCCCTCTGCATCAATCCCCCGGGATGACTCCACGCCCTTCCTCTTGACCCTCACTCACGGGTCATAAAGGCAGATATGTAGCCTGCTCCTCTCGGCAGAGACCCCATTGAAGAGGAGTGCTCAGAACTGGGGCAACAGGCTACAAGTACCCCCCTCTCCAAGCTGCTGGGTGGGGGACCCCTCCGGGAGACCCTGGGAGGCTGTTAAGGGGGCGAAGGGGCTGGGAGGATCCATAGGTACCCAGACTCATTTCTAGCTATACTTGTTGGAGAGGCAGGAGTTCCTAGCCTGGGGCAAGGGACGGAGCAGGTGGGGCTATGGCTCCTTCCATCCAGAGCTACCAGCAAATGCAGAGGGCCTGGTGCTAAAAGGACACTGGTCATGGCCCAAAAGGCAAGGGATACTCAAATCTCCTCCCCTGCTTGTCCGTGGCCTGCCCAATCTAGAGAGGTCTCCTGTGCACCAGTATGGGCCTCGTTAACATCCCCTTGGCAACGATGCCATCACCGGCCCTGCCAATGAGCTAGCAGCTGGGCCAGCTCCTCCAGGCACAGGGAGCCGGGCCAGCCGAGGACCGACATGGCAGGAGAATGCCTGTGCACAGGAGCGCTGAAGCGCCTCGCTGGGCTCTAGGGTTAGGCCAAGCCCAGGGGCCCAGCGGGCTGGAGCCTGGGATGTATGGGCCCACACACTGGGCAGGGACCCCCCCAATCAGTGATTTCTGTTAAAACCTGAGAGTATGCAGCAGAGCTCGGGAGCACCCCGCGGCTCCACTGGCCTAGGACCGGTGCTGGAGGGGTCTGAGCGCAAACAGCCATCCCCATGCTAAACCCACCTCTGAAGGCAGAACAGAATCATAGGACTGGGAGGGACCTTGAGAGGTCGTCTAGTCCAGTCCCCTGCACTCATGGCAGGACTAAGTGTTATCTAGACCATCCCTGACAGGTGTTTGTCCAACCTGTGCTTAAAAATCTCCAATGCCGGAGATTCCACAACCTCCCTAGGGAATTTATTCCAGTGCTTAACCACCCTGACAGTTAGGAAGTTTTTCCTAATGTCCAACCTAAACCTTCCTTGCTGCAATTTAAGCCCATTGCTTCTTGTCCTATCCTCAGAGGTTAAGAACAATAATTTTTCTCTCTCCTCCTTGTAACAACCTTTTGTGTACTTAAAAACTGTTATGTCCCCTCTCAGTCTTCTCTTCTCCAGACTAAACAAACCCAATTTTTTCAATCCTCCCTCATAAGACATGTTTTCTAGACCTTTAATCATTTTTGTTGCTCTTCTCTGGACTTTCTCCAATTTGTCCACGTCCTTCCTGAAATGTGATGCCCAGAACTGGACACACTACTCCAGTTGAGGCCTAATCAGCGCGGAGTAGAGCAGAAGAATTACTTCTTGTGTCTTGCTTACGACTCTCCTGCTGATAGATCCCAGAATGATGTTTGCTTTTTTTGCAACAGCGTTACACTGTTGACTTGT